CTCACAGCTTGTGGCAGTGTGAACACTTACTCATCCTTCCCAAAGGGAATGTTCTTACTGGTCAGGAGGAGTTCAGGTGATATCCAAGGTCAGTGTAAGAAACTCAAGCACCCATTAACTTTGTGTGAGCTTAACGCAGGGCTGCTGTAGTGTACCAAAGACCCTTTCCTGCAGAGCTGGTGCCTGGACTAGATAGGACACAGAAGGAACAAGGGAATGTGCCCAATGGAAGTGCTGGAAACAGAACACAGGTTTTCTATTCTCATGCTCCGAGGCATATTTACTCCCAACAGACAGGTACATACCCCCTCAGGATACAACAGCCATAGTCTCAAACAATTCCATCCAGCAGCCAGGCTTCAACCCTCAGGGCAACACCACAGTAACCCATGTGAGCTACCCTGTTCCTCATGGAAAAACACCCCCAGAATCTCTATCACTTCATAAACCTTTAAAACCCAAACCTGGTTGGAGATACTTACCCTGTTTGAGATCACTTCCCCCAGCCTGCCTGTCAGTCCTGGTTTATACATTACTGGCAGCTCCCAGCACCCTTTGCTGGGAAAAAGGAGGGTTGAGAATTACAACAGCCCTGGAGAACTTGGCTTTAAACAAAGAAACAAACCCCAGCTTCATCATCCTGTAAAGTTCTATAGTGATTCCAAGTGCAACAGGGAGCAAACAGTCAGTGCCCTGTCAGAGGAGACACCCGAGATAGTTCAGCTCATTAAGTGTCCTTAAAGCTGTCCCCTACTTGCAACTAGAACTACACCAAAAAACATTCTCCCATCCACTGAAACTCGGTTTCCTGGCCATGCAAACATCCCATCTATTAGTATTGCAGCTAGAACTGCCAAGAGCTACCTTTAAGCCCAGCTTGTGCTAAATGGGCTCCCTTTACCTGTGAGTCCCATGGAGGGATGGTCTGTCTTAGCAATGTATCTTACTAATGGCTTTAACCTGAGGGGAGACTGAGCTGAGCTCTTAGGCAGAAGCTCTTCCCTGTGAGGGTGCTGAGGCGCTGGCACAGGGTGCCCAGAGAAGCTGTGGCTGCCCCATCCCTGGCAGTGCTCAAGGCCAGGTTGGACACAGGGGCTTGGAGCAAGCTGCTCCAGTGGAAGGGGTCCCTGCCCGTGGAACTGGATGAGCTTTAAGGTCCCTTCCAATACAAACCATTCCATGATCTCCATTAAAAGATCCCCAATATTTTGCCTAAAAAAAAAAAAGCCTAGGAAAAGTTGCCAGGCATTTATAAATAAGCACTGAGGGCCTGAGCGAGACATCAGGAACAGCCAGGATGCAGCCTTGCTCCTTTTCCACCCAAGCTCTGAGCACTTTGTTTTCTACCCGCACTGATCCAGCTCCATGCGCCAGCCTGGCCTTAACACCTCTTCTCACAGCTCCTGCAGGAAAATAAGCTCTGCAGAAGCCCCTGGGGAAGAGGAGCACTCCTTAAACACAGCAAGACAACAAACTCTCATCCAGTTGCCTCCTGCCAGCTCCAGCTCTCCACCCCATCACCCAGGGCCACTCACAAAGAGCCTCCTTTCCGGAGGGCTGTGAAGGCTGCATTGCTCTTCCAGTGCTCTGCTGGCCAGGCACAGCTAGAGGGAGAGCAAACAGCGAGCACGAAAAGCAACAAACACTGAACCAGCCAGGGGAAAACATGCAGAGAGTGTTTATGCCAAGCAAACAGCAAACACAACACTTTTCCTTGCCAGAAACCCAAGCTGCAGTAAAGAGCCAGAGTAGAGAGTATTTAACAAAGATGCAAGGGCTTTAAATGAGATTGAAGAACCTGACCTTAAACACAAAATCTGGAGAGAGGTTACAGCCTGAGCTCCATTCTCAGGCCTACCTGGGAGCCTAGAGGCTGTTTGAAATCAGAACTGCTTGCCACAGGGGGAATAAAAGCACTCTACCCTTTCTGAGCCTGGGAATAGAGGTTATTAAAGTAGTAATAAAGAAACACTCCCTCCCTCCCCCTAAGCATCACATAAACAGTAGAGTTACCTGAATAACCAGCAGATGCAGCTCCTCCACTCCACAGGGACCCAATACCTGCTCATCAGTACTAACACTATAAACACCTTCCTATCCCTTCACCTCTGGTTACTTATCAGGGGAACACTGAGTCCAAGGAGCTCTGCAGGGAGCCAGCCATCCTGCAGGATATTTGCTGCACCTGGGCCCCTGTCATGGCCTTTTAGTCTTCATTGATACCAACCTAACCTGAGCATCACCTGAGTGAGAATCAGCTCTGTAATAAATGGGAGTTTGAGACTTCCTTTGCATGGGTATGAGCCAGGACACAAAGCAGTAAAGACTCAAGGTCTTCTTAGTACTTGGATCTATTGTTACATGGTCACCAGCTCCCTACCTTTCCATGGGAATTCAGCTCTTTGGGGTCTGATGTTAGGGCTCTCCATCATTGTAGTTACAATGCCAAAGTATGTGGTACTGATTTCTGAATCTCATCTACTATTAATGCTATATAGGGCTTATTTTACTCTGCTTTTTCATACAGTCATCAACTCAGAGCAGTTTTCAAACTACCCTTGAGTTTTCCTTGCAGACTAAACATTTAACTCACATTCTGTTGCTCACTTCTATTTGCAGGCCTCTCTCAAAGAAGAGGCTTAGAAACAGTTTCTCTCTCTCTCTGATTTCATCATTGTCCTCGGCACTGATTTATAACCTGCACCTATTTATAACGACAAGTTTTATATGACAAACTACTCATTTTGCTTGAAGGTTAATAGCTCACCATCCGAGAGGAGTTTACATGTGAGGAAAGGCAGGGAATCTACTCCTAATCCAACATAAATACCTCTGGAGTCAGTCTGGAGCATGGCATCGAAATCATTTACAAAACCTGAAATCTGAATAGAACTTAAACCCTCATAACCTGTCAGCTCGCAGCCAGGGAAAACAGCCCCAGAGTGCCTGCAACTGGAATATCCCTGCTGGGAGATGGCTTTTATTTGTCTGGAGCAGAGAGCAAGGGTTGAACTGGACAGCCCTGGCACTGGGGTGTGGCTCTGCTCAGCTCCTGATGCTAACACAGCCTGTCAAGGGCTACTTTAAGGCTCTGTGTGAATTCACTGCAGATTCCATGTGTGAAGGGCTGGTCCAGCACTGCACTGAGCCAGTCAGCATGGTGGTAAATACAAGAGTAGTGAAAAGCAGCAAGATGGGGACAACCCAGCAGATTTTAGTTACTATAGCTCCATAGGGCAAAATTCATAGTGACCACATCAGCAGAAACCCTTCTGGAGTTAAGCCCTGGACTAGATACATCCCTACACTCCAGGATGAATCCCTAACACCTTTACCAGACATTGCACCAGCTTCAGTGAGCTCTGTCAGGCTCGTAAATCAATTACAAGATGTTTTGTAAGGGCACCCACCACGGGAGCTAAAATACCTCCTAGGGATGCTACCCAGCCTAGACCTTTGAGACAGGCATCTTCCAGAAGCACAGGGCTCTGATATTTACCAGCCTTGCTAAGCACGTAACTTCAGTTTGAAGTTGGAAACTTAGAGCTGGAACCTGTTTAGAAGGAGGAAATATGAGTGAAGATGATGCTTTTATAGACACTGAAATTAGCAGTCAGTGCTCATCGAGGATTTACTGGGGCTGCAATACACCCTAAGCCACAGAGCAGCCTGCTCACATCGCAGCATGTGTAAGAGGGAGGTGTAGCAACCAGAGTAATGTGGTGTATAATGAGTATTGAGCTCAGAGGGTCATATGGGGCCACAGCATCAAATTCAGTGCCAGTATCTTAAAAGCAAGAAGCTCTCGGGTAGGAAAAAATCATGTGAGAGATCCCAAAACCCTGGCTAGGGAACACATCTCCCTCATCTGAGAGCTGCACAGAGCATTGACCCTAACAAAACCAGGCTGATTTGCATTAGTTTTGTCTAAATCTGAACTATATACACGGCAAAAACCTCAGTGCAGATGGCTGCAAAGATAGGTCGAGGCCTTTGTAGAGGAAGGGCATAAAAAATGCAGCAACTAGTTGTGTTTGCTGTTCTGCTAACACCTCAATAGTGAGATGTCCCCATCATATCCTTCTGCTACAGCACATAGAGCACTGAGCATGCTGGAAGCACCCAGGAAACAGCCATTTAATTTGTCCCCTCTTTTAGACTTCTCGCCTTGCGTGCCACAAATAACCACTGCCACTGGGTGGGATTAACATCCTTGGCCATTAAACCATCGGCTCGAGTACATGGGGTTTATTCTGTTATAAACAACTTCTTCAGCATGAACTCGGTCCTCTTGAGCTCTTACAGTTTCTTGGCCTATAAATGTAATGCCTAGAGAGGAGCAGCTTCACACACCATTAATCTCCTCACTCCAAACAGCACAGAAGCTTTGTACAGTGTTTGGGCACAGCACAGCCAGGAGCAAAGTGTCCACATCAGTCACGGGGTTGGAGGCCCAGCCCCAGCTCCCTGCATTGCTCTTTCCACCCCTCTGACCCATCTGACTGCTGGTCAGAGCATCTCATATACTGGGTGCTGCTGAAGAGCCAGGGTGCAAGAAAACTGAGGCCTGGGAGCATTCAGAGCTAAAAGACTCTTTAAAAAAGGGGCGGGGGGGGGGGGGAATAAAGGAAAAAATTAGGGGAAAAAGTTAGAAATAGGGGAGGGAATAGGAGGGAGAAAATGGGGGGGGGGGGACACAGGCAAAGAAAGAAGGGGAAAAGAGGGGGAAAAGAAGAGGGAAAGGATGGGGAAAAGAAGGGAGAAAGAAAGAAGAGTCTTTTGGCTAAAAGACCTTGGTGATGCAGAAGAAAGCTCCTTAAGGGACAACAGGCATTCCAGTAGCTCCTAGTAGACTGGGGAAACACCCATTGGGACAGCACTTCTTATATATATAAGGGAGAAGGGGTACAGAGGCAAAGCAGTTAATCTCCTACTAAGGAGATCATGAGAGTAAAACACAGCAAAGAAGGGGGGAGAAATAAGTCACAAATCCCAAACCAAAGTGTGACAAACAGCTTTAGTTCTACAGCAAAATAAATATTATAACTCTGATTTACTCAACAGTGAGACTTGGCTCAAACCCACCTATAGATACACAACATATGCTGCATGTCACACCACTTGGATTCTGTCGCTGCAAGTCGTGCAGGAAACAGCCCCATTTATTACAGATACACAGTACAATATACAGTAATACATGGTGGGATAGGGGCTGTGTGCCCTCACTCCACTTACTCCATCAAAGCCAATCTTTATTGATAGGGTTTAGTGATGAATTCATGTGTTACATTGCTTCCTGAAGCTCCAGAAATGATGACTGTTGCTACTTGCTGTGCCTCTAAATAGCATGCTCTCCCCAAAGCGTAGCACAAAAAAATCCATAGGAATTCTGGCATGTATTGTGGATCAGGAATGAATATATGGACATTGATAGCTGCTGTATTTTAGACAGTCATACAGGCCCAGTTAGGACAGCCACATCCCTTTGATTAGAAAGCAAATTCACCCGTGTGTACTTGTATAATAGCACTACTTGATTATTCCCTGTACCCTCATCATACCCTCTCCTTCCTCTTCCCGTAGGCATCACTTTAATGTTCTTCCCAAAGGACAAAAAAAATACCATTTAGCACCCTTAAAGATCTGTCTCTAGGTATTTATAATGGAGATGAAAAAGCCAGTTTCATGCCTGGTTTAAAGCTCTTGAGCTAAGACATCTTTGCTTACCACCAACTCCAAGAGCAGTGTTACTGGAGCTTGTAGGGACATCAGGGATTGATCAACCTGAACAGCAGACCCAGCAATAGATGACATTGTTTTCATGCCTCCTGCTGTCCCCAACAGTGTGTGTTTTCATTGAACGAAGGTATTGTAGTTGATCAAAGATGGAACGCAGTGATCAAAGGGATGTGCTCCATTCCCTGCAGACATTCCAGAACAAGTATCTGGACTCCAATTTGGGCTTTGCTACCACCTATTTATGACACTGTGGCACAACCATGCTAAGTTGGATCAATGCAAGGGCCAGGGGTCTGCTGGAAGGGAGAGCTACAGAGGTTCATTACATGAGAGGGTTTTTTTAACAGCAAGGATGTTACCACACCTTGAAATGTCAACACCCTTTTACTCTCTTTAGATTACTTTATAGCCTGGAGCTGTATGCAGAGCACTTTGGGGCTGGATCTCACATGCTTACATCCAGAAACATTCACTGGATGGTCTTTTAGATGGTCTTTGTCAGCGCTTTAACCCAAGCAGAGCTCACATAGGCTCCCTATAGGCCCAGCCACTGTTTCCCTGCAGTTGAACCAGCGCCAAGCAGATGACGTACCTGATCCAAGGCTGCTCTCCCCACTGCCTTTGCCAGGCTTTGACAACCAGTGCGATGCATTTGATACATTAACAAACCCACACGTGTATCTTACTAAAACATAAGAACACAGGTAGGGGAGTTCCTGGTGGTACTGGTGTCATTGGCCTTACCTTTTCATAAAGCCAAAATGTACTGGCAGCGAGGTATTCACTCCATCAATCGCATCAAGGCAATACTTAGATGTAAAGAACCACAATTAAAGAGTTCAGCCCTTGGATTCCCATTTCTGAAGCAGCCATTGTCTGAGAATTCAACATACTACTTGTCAATACATCCAATTCTGAACACGAGAGAGGGCTTGTACCATTTACAGCTGAGTGTAAAAAGCAGTTTTGCTGGCAAACCCTTGTCTCCTTCCTCCCCAACACATAGAATATAGTCACTGTTTTACTTCCCCTCTCAATCCTTCATTTACAAACCCAAGCACCCCACAGTCAATCCCAAAAGACACACTGATTACAAGTGCTATTGTGTTCTAACGTAACAAATGCCAAACCTCAGCCTATTGTTCAGTGAGCATCTGGTGAAGCACAAATTAAATATCACAGAGTTCAGTTCTGAATGATAAAAGTGTATTCTTTATGATGAATGAACTGGTGTGGACCTTGAAAAGCAGTAGCCTCCGAAAGCAAGCTTGAAGTAGCTGTGAAGGGAAAGGCTCTTTGCCTGGTTAAAAGGATGCCAACAGGAAGCAGTCTTCAAGAGGCAAAGTAAAGGTTTCTTCAGTCCAATATACACTGCAAGGCTCTAATGCATATCCTTCCCTGCTGCAGATGATGCTATGCACCCATTAACATGCCCATGAAATCAGATCCATTCTGGATGGTGATGGGGGCTCCAGCACTGTTGTCCACAAATATGGAGGTGTACTGGCCAGCCTGCAGAGGGAATGAGAGGGAAAGGAAAGTATCTGGCAGTTCATCTCAGTGTAAAAGGTGGGGGGGAAGCATTTCACTACTATGGACTAAGCACAGAGGTCTCCTGCACTTTTCCGTGGCTCTGGGAACAGGGTCTGACCTGTTCATTTAGTGCAGCTTTGACCTGGTGAAAGATGTGTAATTGTGTTATAGGTTTATTACTTAGATCCTTACTGCACCAGCATCTTTTGGGGTGACTAGCCAAGTAAGTCATCCATGCATCAGATTCCTTTCTATGTAATGGGAAGTAGAATTGCACCTTGACAATGCTAGGGGAGATGTGAGCAATGGAATACTGTCATTTCTTAGAGGGAAGGTTGCCTCTGTACCTTGAAATCAGAACATTTAACACAGGTCTGGCTTTTGTTCCTGCTGCTGCCCCAGATTCTCTCTGATCACCCCAGGTAAGGCTTTTAACTTCTTTAACCTTAGAAAGAAGGCTAATAAAGTCTTCCCCATCTCCAGGTGGGAATTCAGCCTTGCCACTAAAGAACTCCACAGCCCACCAAGCAAATTAGCACAGTGATTCCCAGCTTCCATAGGCTTACCTGCAGCTGCAGTAAGCCATGGACATAGATAGTGAAGATCTTGCTGTTGCTTTCCAGACCAGCAATGACTTCCAAAGACCTAAACAGTAGCAAAGGAAAACAACAGGTTAAACACCTCAGGGCGTCACAACAGTTGTATGTGCAGTGACTGTAGTCTCATAAGCTCCCAAGAAATAGGGCCTGGTGGTTCTAGTGCCCACCTCTACTAAGCAGGTGGAATGTTGACTTGATTCCAGCAGTGGTAACTGCCTTGAAGAGAGAACAGTAGAACCTTGTCCTCATGGTAGGTCTAATGGAAGACCTCCAGAGGGTACAGGATTGTGAATGCAGAACTCAGCTGGAGCCACCTTCTCTCCCAGAGGCCTTTCTGGAGGCCCCATAGTCTCCATCCCCTACCCCTGAAGAGGTGCTGCACACCCCCTTTGGACTTCCCTATGTACCAGTTATCTCAGTTTGCTGACTGCCACAATAGTCCAAAGCAATATGAAAGCACAGAGCTCCATGCCTGCATCCTCTGAAATCTACCCAGCCAGTGGTAGCAGTCGAAGTTGTTTTCCCAAGAAATCCAACCCCTTTCTCCCTTTTTTCCATGAAGTGATGGTGACAAAACCTAGCAAGTGCAGACGTGCTGTTTCCAGCCCCCTTGCAAGGAAATAAGATGTATGAGAGGTAGGGGAATTTGGCCCAAAGAGAGCAAGTCACTTGGCACCACCTTGACTGAAGAGCACAATCCATGTGTCATATCCTGCCAAAAGCCTGGCTTGGGTGGGAACTTCCCACCATTAATCTCTTTTACTCCAGCTGTCTCCTTGCCTCCCAGTTTCCATCTCTCTCAGCCGAAAGCCCTCAGGGCTCTTTCAGCTCCCTCAATGAATGACTGTGTGTGCTGACATCCCCAGGAAATTCCACAAGGCCGGGTGGCAGGCAGCTCAGCCCCTGCCAGCAGTGTCTGTCCAGACAGGTTCCCATCCCTCCACCCATCTTCCTTCCATGCCACAGGCCAGTCACACTCTCACCCACCCCATGAGAGGTGTCTCAGAGACAACGATGAATCTGCTCATGCTAAGAGCAGATTCTAAGAGCTTTCACCTCCTGCAGTCGGGAAGGCACAGGGGTTTCCATGGCCCCACAAGGAATCTTCTTATTCAGGTAACTCTTGTGCTCACATTCACCAGAACAAGGAAGCAAAACTAAAGTCATTCACCTCTATTTTCCACCTATTCGTTCTCATCACTGCAGCACTTCCATGGCAACATGAGTGAGATGCTGTGATGCATTCAGGATGCAGCTGAAATCATCAAAATTGAACCAATGGCTCCAAACTGAAGTGTTTCTCTCATTCTGTTTGTGATGATAGCTGAGCATTCAGCATCTTCAGCTACATTCAGTTTCATTCACACGTCTCTCAAGATGTGCAATATTCAGCTATTTAGAACAATTAGCACTGAAAAGTTACAAACCAGCATAAAAAAAAAACCCATATAAAAGCTAAGGGCCAGATGGAATCTCTCCTCAGAGAAGTTTTACAAGCATTTATCATATCAAATTCACTGCTGGTGAACCTAATTTCCACACTGGGTTGGATCATTGGCCCATCTGAGGAAACCAGTTGCCAAGGCAGTAACTCACGTGTATCGGTGGCACAAGGATTCGATGCAGATCAGCACTCGGACGTTGTCTCTGGCTCGGAGCTGGACTTTACTCTTGAGCTCACTGTGATCTGAGGGAAGCAGTAGAAGCAATATAAGCACATCAATAGAGCACCAGTTGCTAGTGTTTGGCTTAGCAGAGACACCAGGAATCTTACAGCTCGTGGTTCGGTTTGCATGGCATCATCTGGGGAGGGGGCATCTGTAAGAAGGTGCTAGAAACTTCTATGTGTCTGATAGAGCCAGTGCCAGCTGGCTCAGTGCATACCCACCACTGGCCAAGGAGCAAATCAGCAATGGTGGTAGCACCTTTGGGATAACACATTTCGAATCAGAATAGTTTGGGTTGGGAAGGACCTTTAAAGGTCATTTAGTCATCTAGTCCAACCCCCTGCAGCCCATGGTGAAGACCATGATGAGGCAGGCTGTCCCCCTGCAGTCCATGGAGGCCATAACTTCCACACATGAACATCACCCATAGGGAGTGTTATGTGCTTGGCTTGCATGGAGCAGCCTGCTGTGGCACTCAGTCTGTGAAAGCACCCAGCTCTAAGGACAGGGGTTTGGGCCATGGTACCAAAGGGAGAGCTCACTGCAAAATGCTTCCATTACCCATGCTTCAAATCAGACAGGACCCAGAGAGTTCTGCAGGGCTCCATCCTGCACCTCTCAAGCAGTACAGGATCGGTTTCTGTGGGCACTACTCACCAACATGGATGTTGGCTGAAAACTGGTAGATGCCGGACACGGGTGCTGTGAAACGCCCTGTTGCCAGGTTCAATCCTGTCCCCCGGAGGAAAGCGCCTTTGGCCAGAGGCTGTAAGATGGGAAAAGCAGACCTTGAACAAGTGCCCAGCACCCCAACAATCACCTCTGCCCATGACAAAGAACAAGCTTACGCTCATGAGAACAAAGCTACTGCTTTGTCTCCCCAGAACACACCTTCCAGATGGGTTCTCTCTCAGCATCTGGAACCCACAGGAGGCAAAATGATCAGTATGAGACATGAAGATGTTCTTTTTGCTCACTGCTGAGCTCTTCTAACCCATCTTGACTCACTGTGCTCACTGCGTCCCTGATGCTTTGCTGGTCCTGGTGGCCTCTAGCCTCCAATGATGTTCTGATACACAAGATCACAGAATCATAGAATAGTTAGGCTTGGAAAGGACCTTAAGATCGTCCAGTTCCATGGGCAGGGACACCTCACACTAAACCATGTCACCCAAGGCTCTGTCCAATCTGGCCTTGAACACCGTCAGGGATGGAGCATTATATGATATCCCATTACATGAGTCAAAAGGTCCTTACTGCTCCCAAACACTTTCTAGATGGGGCCAAGCAGTTTCCCCAGGCTTAAAACTGGAACCTTATGCATTGTTTTGTGACACAAGTACAGAGGAAACACTCCAATGGGGGTCTACCCACTTGAGTTCTAAGTCAGGCAGCTTTGATACTGTTGAAGACCAACTGCTTGGATCCTTACACATCCCATGCTCAGTTTCATTTTGTTCTAGCTTTGGATTCTCCAGAATAAGCAAAACCCTGCAGCTTCTCCCCACATCCAGGAAGCAGCTCTAAGTCAAACTCACAGCCCATGATCTGACTCGGGCTAAACCAGAAATGTTTATTGTTTGCTTTGGCCTCAGATTCACATTCAGCCTGAAGCTGGAGCTGGGGAGAAGCAGCTTCCCTGGGCCAAGGCAGTGCATTAGGCAGCCTCTGCTTCCACCACAAGGGCATTCTGTGTAGTGTGAGTGCTGTCCTGAGAGGTGTGCTCTGCACTGGGCTTAAGGCGCAGAAGAGCTGTTCAAACCTGGCTCTGTAAAGGCACAGATACCCCAAAACCATGCACAACATGTAATAACCCAACATTTGAGTATGGTTTGTGCTATTAGATGGTGAAAGGGGCCTGAGACATGGGTGAGGTTTGTAGCAGTGTGCTATTAAGCTCAAAACATAGTGGAACACCTTTGTTCAAGTACTAGAAGGAAATGGTTTGCTATTCTAACTCATCACAGCCAGGAATTGACAGCTTTCACAGTGCAGAGTAGGATTAACACCCTTAGCTTTCTCTTTGATGGGAAGTAAAGCTGCACATACTTGGGTCTGATGGTGTTTGTTATAGAGTTACTACATGGTAGGAGGAGTGCAATGACTAACCTGCCTTGAGTCAGCAAATCCCAGGCAAGGCTCAAAGAGAAATTCCTTCTTTACTCGATCTACCTGGAGCCTTACATTTCATAGGGCTAGAAATGATTTATGTATGCAGATAGTGGGGAAAATATATCCGTGTTTGCAACAGCAGGGACACCTCCCATAAGTATAATGGGAAAACAGTGATAATGAGCTGCAGAACAACTACATTTCATACGTTTATATACTTTTTAATATAGTTATCAATGTGCACTGATGTATAGATTCATAGAATGGTTTGGGTTGGAAAGGACCTTAAGTTCCAGCCCTCTGCTATGGGCAGGGATGCCTCACACTAGACTATGTGTATGCCCATGTGCATATATATACACACAAAAGGAGCTCTGTCTTCTCTGAATATACACATATGGTCAGTGTATCATCTAACCTAACAACAGACTATGGAAGGAGCTTGATTCTGTTCTTCTGCTATCACTACACCATCCTTTTTGGCAATGGTATTTTGGATTTGTCTCACTGAAAGAGCAGATCCAAGCCCTGGATGTGCAAAGCTGCACTGCATAGTTAATTCATTCCTTTCTTGTTACAGCTATTAGCAGAATCAGCAACATAATTCCAAACCCACTGGCTGGGCATGGAAGGCAATTTTAGGCACCAGTAAATTATCACTGATAAAACATTCCTGTTTCTTCATGCCCTCTGTGGCTTTGTTATTCTTTTTGCTCATAGAAATAGACACGGCAGGGTGAGGTTCTCTGGGCAAAAGATTCCATTAAAGCCCATGCCAATGAGAGCTCCTGCATTTGATGCCTCAAACACTGCAGGGATTTCTAGCTGAGAACTACCTGCACACAGTCATTTCAGTCAGCGGACCAACAGCAAACTAATGAGTTATGTACAAGGTCAGCTTCTCTTCCTCAGTTCATTTTCCTCATACACTCCATAGCTTATTTCTGGGTGGAAAATGGGGACCGTGCACAGAGGACTGAGATGTTTCCCTTCTCAGTGATAAATAACATGGAAAGCAATGCATTGACTTAGCCAGTACTAAAGAAACAGCTCAGTTGTGCCTGCACAGCAGCCACAATGCACAGAGGATGCACCACTCTCCTGAAGCAGCAGTAACATTCAACTGGCAGAGCAGACATTTAGCTGGACCTTAAGGCACTAGAGAAACCAGGACTGCAAAACACATGGACCACTTTAATCTGAAATGGTGTGATTCCAGTAACATTCCTGGGCTCCAGATAAACCCCGCTTCCATGGCATGTCAGAGGCTGCAGTTACTTCAATCCTGGCTGGGTAAAGTACCATCCTGAAAGCTTTTCAAGAGCCAGTTGTTAGAAACCTCAAACAATGAGATACAGGAGGAAGAAGTGTGGGGAATTTCATTCCCGATACCAAGGAATTTGTGAGACCAAGAGGAAAAGAAGGAGGGAATATTCTTGGAGGAAATCTAGCATGGGAGGATGAGAAAACCATGATGCACTCTCAAGGTCGGAGTGACTTAGACACCATCCTCAAATGACAGTGTAGAAGTGATATCCCGACACAGAGTCTTTCCACTATCTCAGAGTGCTTTGGGTAAGGTCCAAATCCAGGAATTAGAGTCAATCCTTATCATTGTACTGAGAAGTAGCAAACTGTTGGCTTCTTCACACTGTTAAACTGACACAACGGAGGCAAAGGCATTATCTCCCTCTCTCCCCCTTGGACTGTTTAAAGCCAATGTTTTCATATTTGCAAGAACATCCACTGTCTCCCTCCCTGTGAATTCCCCTATATCAGAGCACAAGCTAAAACCAGACACTTCTTGTCCCAAAGCTGAAATGAAAGGCTGGCATCCAGAGCCCTGCCAGCCCTCCCACAGCAGCTTCAGGGCCAGGAGCAATTAGAAAGTAGCTAGGCATGGGATAACAAAGCATGGGAAGCATCAGCCTACACACTGATTGCTGAGATGTCTTTATTCACATTTTCCCTCATTAATGAGGCAGCAGATCTCTTTAGCCCTGCCCACACTTCAAGTACAATCTTGCCTCCGTGCCAGCACCCACAGTGCTGTCAAACCAGGCTTCCATAAGTGTACCTGGGAAAGGTCCAGGAAAGCACCCTGTTTAGAACATAACCACTGCCTCTAGTCCTGCAGCTGGGAGAGGTCCTAGCAGCAAAGCTGCTCCATAGGAAAGGATCTGCTGGGCAAGGTTCTTCCAAAATGGGACTCAGGGCAGCTGGGAAGCTCAGCACCTTCCTATATGGACAGTGTTAAAACCCTGCTGAGGAAAGTCATATTCCCTGTTCATAGTCTTCAAACACTTCTTAGCACATCACAAAAGCAACCACATACCTGAAGGCCTTTCGCTATTAGACAGTCTTTGTGACTGCAGAGTCTGGAGTAATTCCCCTCAATTACCAAGGAACTATTTGGTTGTAGCTATTACACTGCCTAACATCTGTCCTGGTTAATAATAATTTCAATAGCAAATTCAACAGCTTGCTTGTAACCATGCTTATGCTGACCTACAGCATCCCATGGTAGGGTGCTCATCACTGTAACATGATTGTAATGAAATTATAGAGGTAATATTCGTTAGTCTTCTATAAGATATTAAGAATTTGAGCATCAGGACTGGTCCATCTAACAAAATGATGTCTGGGCTCTTATTTGGCCTCACAAATCCATAACCAATGGCTTCTGTCTGCCTCTGCCATTTCTGTACATCTAAACATGAGTCTGGAATTAAACAGGGTGTGCACTGAAACAAGAAACAGCTCCTTCACACTAATGGCAGACGTGGACAAATCTTTCTCCATCATTAACTGAAACAGAACCTGAGTGCTGTTTGGGCCTGTGAGACAGGCCTCTCTTGCACAGACTTGTTAGAACTTCAGTAAGAACTGTAATGAGGTTCAGCTAGAGAGGGGGAAAGGCTGCCTCTTGGGTTTGTCAGGAAGCTAAATGCCCACCTAACTGCAGTGAGCTTCAGTGCTGAAATCACAGAATCAGCTAGGTTGGAAAACACCTTTAAGATCATCACATCCAACCTTTACCCCAGGCCTGCCAAGGCCATCACTAATAAACCATGTCACATCACCACATGAGATCCTACTTCTGTCAATCACAGAAAAGGCAGCACTGTATTCACAGTATCCAAGCCTGAGGGATTAGTCTGCCCTTTCAGGCAGCACCTTTATCCACAGAGCCACCCAGCAGCTTTGCAGACGAGGGGGACTACAGCTGATCTACGCCCAGTGGCTGCTGTGGAGTTGCACAGGTTCAGTCTGTAATCCCTTCTCACCGACTGGAAATTCTGAAGTTCCACCAGGGTCTTCTTGTCTACAACGACTTGGCCTTTTAGCTTGCAGTGGAATGCCTCCTCGACACGTCTGTGGGCTGAAACTTCCTCCAAGGAGAGCAGGAGGGGAGGCAGCTGGCTGGGATGGGCTGAAATAGCCAGGGATGCTCGGCGCTCAATGGCTTCTGGGGAAAGAAAAGGTATAGGAAAGGCTTAGTTTAAGAGCCTGGCCTGTGAAGCCATTAGTTCTGCACTTAACCCTTCAATCTGAACTAAGCAGCAGTGGGGAAACATTTTGTCACATTTTTGATTCCCAGATAGGGGAATGCTTTCAAAGCCAGTTCTTCACTTGCCATGGTGCTCACCAGAAGAGGCAGCTCACAAAGGCACAGAACAGTCTTTACCTTTCAGTATCTCCTTAAACTCCTGCAGAAGGACTTCCCGGGTGACTTCAGCACCAGGTGCTCCTGGAGGCCCCTGGGGACCAGGAGGTCCTGGGGGCCCAACAAGGCCACGCTAAGGAAGTAACCAAAGAAACACAGGTGAATTAGAAGCAGGTCCTTGCACCGATAGAACCAGAGCACTCTCAGCCATGAGCCGGTTCTACAGCCACGTGAGCAGCACCCAATACTCTCAGTTCAACTATAGGCCTGATGCAGTAAATCTTAAGCTGGCTCTCCAGCCAGCTGTGAATTCCAGTGCTTGGAATTTACTCACATCTTTATGTAGGAGGATAAACTTTGCTCAGGTAAACACCAACTGGTTCTCCAAGTACCTTTATACAGCGTGAAGCACAACAGGCACAACACTAAGTTTGCTGCTTCTGTATCTTCTTGTAGCACCAAATCATACTGGCCTTTAAGCTTCTTATTCTATTTTCTAACCAGAATAACCATCTAGCTACACTTTGGGTAGATACTAAAATAATATATATTAATATCTTAGATAGATATTAATATAGATATTAATATAGTTTGCTTACAGTGATAACATACATGAATATTGGTGCAACAGTAGAGTTCTTGGGAAAAATGAAACAGTTCATTCAAAGCTTTAAACTAGAGGCATGAACACAACGGTGTTATCAGGGCTGTTTTGATGGGTGAACTTCCTGTTTCCTCAATGAAACTGCAGTAAGCCTGCATGGAAGCACTCCTGCCTACCAGCTCACTGAGAACTAGAAGGAAATCATTAAAAGCAGCACTTTAAAAGTGCACATATGGTCAAGCAGCACCCAGGCAAAAGCTGGAGCATACGAAACACCTTGCACATCAGCAGTAGGAAGGGAAGCTGCAGTGCACATGTATTAGCTGATGGCAGCAGAGCAATAACCTACTAGTTTCTTGTCTTTGCCTTTGCATTTCCTTTTAGAGTTGTTGCCATCATCTGGGCGGTGAACAAAGGAGATCCAGGTCCGTCGTGGGTCTGTGATTCGAGGATCTGGAGATTCTAGGATCTAGAGAGAAATAAGAACTCACATCAGTGTAGCTCCCTGTATCTCTGCATCCCACCGAATCGCATGGATACAGAGAATGCAAAGTTTCCAGACCAGAAGGAACCAGTAAGAGCAAGGAGCTGGGAGCTGCTGTACATCAGGGACCTTTAGCTGCTCAGACTCTCAGCCCTCTGACAGTCCTCATATGTACCACAGAAAACCTGCCCAGATGCCAGGGATTGTTCACCACTGGCATCCGATACAAATCAGTTGGATCAATCAAGCAATGCAGGAGATTAAAATGTACAGAAAACCTTGAAACACTCCAGACCTTTCAAATCAGGGGCTTTGGAGTGACAAATGCACACACAGAAGAAAAGAGCTCACAATGACAACCAAAGTCCATGTCAGTGCCAGTTTGTCCATTGGCATATTTAACTCCCTTGCCCATTCATATGTTCTGCAAGTATATTATAGCCATAGAGACAGTATCTAGAGAAGCTTTGACATTACACTGCCTAGTTCTGGATCCCTTCTAAACAGAGTCTGGATAGAAGAGGGGGTCTGTCTATAAATTTGGGTCCACTTCCTATTGGACTTCCTCATTGCCATTATTCACCTCCCAGAGACAACCAGAAGTGATCAAATAGTGATCAAACTTACTTAGAATGAACTTCTAACTTTAAACCTGAAAAAGGCACCAGAAATCACTGGTTACCAATGCCCTGCCATGCTCTTACCAAGGGCAATGAAATGCTGACTCTGCAGGCTCCAATCTATTGACACATCAGTGTCCCAGATGCCCATCACAGTGAGGATAAATGCACGAGCCCCCCTAGGGTTCAGTGAACTATGATCAAGTATTGAGAGCCATAATGAAAGAGCCAGAGAGGAAAAGCTGCAATGAACACTTAAAATCCTTAAAACAAGCACACACACCCCCCACACCCCCACCTTGTGCCTAGTGAAAACTTCTGGAATTCACTCCATAAACCTGGTTTTAATTCTCCTGGTGAGACAGAACAGGTAGAGAGGAGAATTCCAACAGGGAAGCAATACAAGAGTGACGTTTACAATGATTCCTAGACCGTTACAAGTTTATGTAAGTCAATATTGATCTATCACCATCTGGGAGGAAGAAAACAAGGTGGTTGTGGGAAAAGCATAGAAGCAAAGGCACTTTCCAGGTCTGAAAGTGTTTGCCCTGGGTATTAAGCTCCTGCTAGGTCTGACAGCATCAGACAGTTCTGCCACAGCTCAGACATCACAGCTCTATGCTCAGTGGCCTTAACAGTCCCAGTGACCTTGCAAGGCGCTTCCAGTGCTGCCAGGTTAGCAAACACAGCTACGTTTGCTCACTGCCTGTCCCACTTGGCTCCCTAAAGCACTGCCACTTCTCAGAGCACCAGGATGAGTTTTAGTAATGTTTCTAGTGCCACTTAGAAGCAGCAAAGAAGGAGGACTGCAGATGTGAGGTGGAAATAGCAGGGCTATAGCAGGAGAAAAGAGTCCAGGCTGTGTGATCTGCTGTGAAAAAGCCATGCAGCTTGAATTGCTTTGAAGTTAGAGCTGAAGTCTGCTGGAGTTGTGTCTGAGGTTATAAGGAATGTTGATGCTTCTGAGCCTGGAAAGCTCCCTCTCTCTGGCAGGCATCCAGGCACACGGGGTAGTACAAGGCACTTGTTCTGAGCTGATGTGATCACAACTAAAGAGCTTCAAACAGGCTGAGCAAATGATTGACAAAGCAGCAGAAAAGGAGCAGCTCCCCAGGAAGCAGATGTGCTGTGAGCTGAGCAAGGGTATTCCTTAAGCATCTGTCTCAAACTCTGTGAAGACAACTCGGACCTTCTCTATTCAGCAAATAGTCGTGGGTGATTTACTGCTCAGACACAACCCACAGCAAGATCTACTATTGAATTGCTCTATTCAGGCAGCCCCTTATCCTTCCCTCCAGATAGATGGCTGCAGAGTAGCTCGTGTCTGTGCTCTAAGCCACAGCAAGGACATCCCAAGATACCTCATGATAACTATTCATGCATTCTACTGTAGTTAATGAGACATTGAGGTATGGTGCTGCACACTCCCCCGCCCAAATGTAGCAAGACAAACTATTCATGACAACATAGTTCATTGTTTCTGTACCAAAATAAGTCTTGAACAGACCTTTTGTGTGTAGAAGCACACTTACAGACAGCCCTAAATCACATGTTTAGTCAAGGGGTTCTAGTAGATTGTTTTAGCTAAGTTATTATTTGCCTTTTATACATACCACAGCAGGACTTAAATAGCTTTCCAAAATCCCATTGGAAATTAATGTAAATGGAGCGGCATAGGAAATCCCAGGTATTGGGGGATTAGTCACCTCAATAAAGCATTAGAATCTTTCCACAGATTGCTTGACTGCAGATCTGTGTAAAGCATAGGACAGGCTGAGAAGGCCCTTTCCTTTCCATCTACTGTAACACAGAAACATCAAGTCCACAGGCAGATGTTCATAAGGCTTGCACAAGTCCTTAGAAGAGGACATGAGGTGCAGCTTATGTCTATAACAAACATGGAATATATGTATCAGTTCTATGGAGATTTAATGGTTTCTGATGGAAAAAGCTTGTTCTTTCCTACCCCACTTCATCTGAAAGCAGATGGGTGCAGCATCACCACACAGGAGGTCACTGTTTATGAGCATTGAAGTGAACAAAGCTCATAAACCTAAAGCAGGTAAAAGCCAACCCATGCTTTGCCCGAAGGAAGCAGTGACTCCGTGATTGGGACTGACAGGTCTGTGGCAAAGCTGCAGTGCAGCTCACAGAAGGAAGCATCTTCTTGCTGGAAGCACCCATCTCAGGCAGGATGGAGCATTCCCTCAGTGCTGGAGCAGAAGCAGCAGAACAAGGGCTGAGGAAAGGCAAGGAACATCAGTTTGTCCTTCAGAAAGGCTGGCCCATGTGGCAGGAACTCAGAACTGCAGTTTCCAGAGCACAGCAAGCACAAGACCAAGAGAGTCTTAGGCACGGGGATGCAGCATTTGCTGCGGATGTGGAATAGACCACTCAAGCATTCCTGGTTTCCTGCAAGTCAGGCATGAACTCCCCTCCACTAAAAAGCAAGGAACCAGGCCAGCTAGAAGCAGAAGCCAGCAATCACGGGCAAGATCCAACCATTAGCTGTGAAGACAAACAGATGTCCTCAGCCTTTCTGGAGCTCCAGCTGTGAAGAAACAGGCCAGAGCAGACATCTTGTTAGGGAGGAAAAAGAAATCCAGATGGCACATCCCCGCAAAATCAATGGATAACCCCCCCATCCCTCTCCAGTGGCTTGCTTGAATTACAAATCCCTCTACAAGACAGTCATGGCACTCCCCGGTTTCTCCAGCCCGAGGATGATTGACAGTTAAAATGAATGTTCCATCCTTGTGGTGTTATTATTTAATTACTATGGCATGCATGAGCAATCCCAGCAATAAGCATGCAAGCCTCTATTTTTCTTGGCAGCAGCAGCCTCCAGCAGCCAGAGAGACCTCGCAGCCAACTCAGGTATCAGTGAGGGCTGAGAACAGCTTTGGAATACCAGCAAAGGGGACTTGTCCCTCCTGGGCTGCTGGGTGGGAGGAATCCTCATGTTAACTACGGTGAAATCAGGTTTATTCCTTAACACTTGGAGCAGTTCCTCCAAAGTCAACAGCAGCCTTGCCAGCAAGTTTTAATGAAGTTTCAATCAGGCCTTTTGCCATCACTTGGGAATCACAATGGCATCTGTCCCTCCGGAACTGATGAGCCCCCTCTGCCCATAATTCCCTCCCAGTAAAAGACAAGTTGAGCTGGAATTTCAACTGCTGTACATACACAAGCAGAACCTGTGGTTCTCGCTGGCTCCAACTCCCAGAACAGCACGCACTGCCCAGAGACACACACAGGCTCTGGCCAGGATTCAGCCAGCATGGAAGGAACTACCAGCAGGAATCTGCAGTCAAGAAACAGAGTTTGGATCCTGAGAAATTCCTGAACTGTAGCTGAACCTTCCTGAAATTCAGGGATACTGGGATCCAGTGTGCATCCCTGCTAAAAACCAGAGTGAAGTGGGCTGGGATCCAGTGTGCATCCCTGCTAAAAACCAGAGTGAAGTGGGCTGGGATCCAGTGTGCATCCCTGCTAAAAACCAGAGTGAAAGGGTAAAAGTCATTTCAGTCTGGATGGATAAAAGAATGAAGACAGCGCTACCTGGGAGCAATCCTGTACACCTAAAAGCATCACAAAATCACAGTCTTTATGCCTGAAGTTACTGCCCTGCATGTTTAGCTCAGTTTTCTATGCATTTGTCCATCTGTGATGGAATTGCATTCAGTAATTCTTTGCTCAATAGCAAAGCAGTTGCCAGACACAGAATGGACTTGACAAAGCATTTCAGTTCTCTTCATCCACAAGCTGTTACACCTGATGGACACCAGCAAGGGTATTGTCAGCTTTGTGATGACATTAGGAGCAGATTCTTTATTTCAGTTGTGTGTTTGACTTGGAACAGGTTAAAAAGCAACAGAGCACGTTTGGGTTTAGCAGCTGAAGTCCTATGGCAGCTGCTAATAAGTTCTGTTACACACAGTCCTGGTTATTAACGAGATGTAAAACCAAGGTCCTGACCACTTGTGGTTTTTACAGCCCTCTCAAGGTTTTCCCCTGAGCAGAAGTGTTAGGTTTGGTATCTCAGCCAAATCCAAAACGGAATTCCTACCTGAATTCCCACTGTGTTTTTGTGGGTGAAAAAATAACCTTCACTCCTCTAAATAGCTTCCTCAAACAGCTTCCCCCTTCCACTTAGACACAACTTCCAGTGGTCACATCCATAATGAATTTAATGGATCTAATGGAACATGTGAGCAAGTTTAAGTGAGCAAGAGCTACTCTGGGTGAGGAAATGATGTGTCTGTAGCTGTGTTAGCTGTACTTCAACGTTACTCAGTGCCACTCCTGGGTGTACCAGGAGAGCTCTGTTAGGGACACCATAGAAAGGCAACTGAACAGCACCACTAGAGCAGGTGTAGCAGGATGCATCTAACACACAAAACAATTTAACAAAGAGCTTTAAAAATCTTATAAACAGCTCTGGGAAATGAGACCAAGCCCTGAACTATTTGACAGGGTATGAATCCAACATTATTTTACATGGGCCATAAGGAATTGCTAGGAAGCATGTGTCGTAGCCCTTCCTGTTCCTGATATGCCAGAGCAAGACTGACAATGATGACAGGTACAAAATAAGACCCATCTTCTACTACAGGTCGCAGTCCAGTCTCTCCCATGGCTTTAACACTTGTCAGGCCCCCAAATACTCAATTCCACATGCAAACACACACTTCAGGCGAGGACTGACATCTCTTTACTGAGGAGGAATGCAATCAGTGCAATGTCATTGAATCAGCTGCTATTTTCAATGGGAAGCAAAAGGCCTTAGGGGCCTAAAAGAGAGATTTAAGTAACAAACCAGGTGGACCCAGCCCTAGGTAGCTGACAGGGACAGAAGGCTCACAAAGTGAATGAAACTTGAACTACAAACTGCAGCAGGTAACTCTGGACCAAGTTTTGACTGTCTCTAAGGATGGAGTCTCCATGGCCTCTCTGTCCAGCTTTTCCCAGTGTTTGACCCAGTTAAGAAGCTTTTTTCCCTTACATTTAAGTGGAATTTCCTGTATTTCAATCTGTACCCACTGCCTCTTGTCCTTTCACTGGGCACTAAGAGGCTGACTCCATCTTTCATCCCTCTGCTCAGGTATCAGATGATAACTCCTGATCAGTGTCAACCCTATATAACCACTGGGCAATCTACTACTGCTGAACCCCTGTTAGTAAAATACATCTTCTCTCTTAGTCCATCTGTGTCAGAGAAGGAAAGTCTCATGTGCACATCACATTGATAGCAACTCAGCAAGGATAAGACTGGAGAAAAGCCTTAAAAACAAACCCCAACATTCTATTTCCATGGGAATACCAGATTTATCAGGAGATTTGGGACTTCTGCTTCCCTGTTTTAGGTAGAGGTGTCACCGTGACTCATGCACTGGGAATGTTAAAGGGGAGCTTTCTCCATTCCTGTTTGAAAAGGATTCCCAAGGGAAATGTGTCCCAAATTGCTTTGCTTAATCAGAAGGAAAACACGTGTACCTGTTCAACAGTATGAATAAGAATCACTGCCCTCAGCTACTAGTTCATTCCCTGCTCCTTCTGCTTTGATAAACCCACCACCTGGCAACACAGCCTTCCAAGGTAAACACAGCCTTAACTGTTACTGCACAGGGCCACAGAAACTCCATCTTTCCTGTTGTGTGCTGTAAGAAATGACATGGGACACTGCTGCTGTTTCCCTTTCTGTGTGCAGGGCATCCTGTCATGAAGCTCAACTGGTCATAGAAGCATGTTCCAGGCTCAGAGAGATCAGTGCTCCACAGAGAACTGCTTTCAACCTTGCTTTAACTTGATAGGTTAGGTAAGGGTAGCTTCACTAACTCACTACCAGTTTACTTCTTCCCTTAGTGAATACAAATTGGGATGCTTTGGTGTAAATGGCAACTGTCATTTACCCCAGAAATGGTGGCAAGTCTTAAGCCCTGCGTTTGCAGTGTGTGTAAAATAGTCCCTTAGCTTATATAAAATACAGTCACATCTAGAGGTAATACTTAACCAGAGCCTGAAATAGATTCCAAGGAGGAGAGTTCACAGTGCAGAACTGGGGGTGGTTATCAAGCAGACCTCAGAAGCATTTCCATCAAAGATTTGGTTTCATGCTCTCCTTAGACAGGACCTGCCCTCACTGAAGTGGCCAGCTCCTTCTGCAGCCAAACCTTTGCCATGGATATTTTAAAGCAAACTATTTCAACACATAAACTGCAGCTTCCAAACAACGCCAGGTTTAATGGATGCCCACTAGAACCAGGGTTCTCCTAGCACTAATGTATGTATGATAGCATCAGAATGCACCAGGAGCAGTTTCTGCTCCCTTCTGCAATCAGAACATATTCTGCATATACATATCTCAGACCATATTCTGCAATACATTTCACATTCAGCCAAATTAATTCCAGAATAGACAAATTGAGTTGCACCAGATAACGCGTCTGGCCCCTTCTGCAAAAGCAGACCGCAGCAGTGCTCAAGAGAGGAGAAGGAAGTCATTGACTATGAGCACCTCAAGAGCTCAGCATTTATCCAACCTGTCCTGACAGAGCCCTGCAACACACAACAGCAAATGAGCTGAAGACACGGTGCTTACAGTCCCCTAATGATAATTGTGAGTGCAGCAGCCAGCTTTCTTAGAGAGGGCTGCTTCCCAGACTTGCCCAACCTTAACCAATTACTCTCACAACAGCATTGAACAGGATATTTACCATGGCAGCCCAATTGTTCTAACTTGCCCCCTCTGCCATGCCCCACTTTGTGACAGGTTTGCTCCTCCATTGCTATAGTGACTGCCAGCCCTAATGCTGGTGATCAAAGTCATGCTTTAGAGGTCACCTCCATTCGAAACAAGGGACATTTTTGTGTGAGCAGGGGGGAGAGGGACAGAGAGAAAGGGCTGTGTGATAGGGAAGACTCCCTTCTTTCTCAGTGTTGTGGTCTCCCGTTGCATCCTGCTCATAATCCTGCTTTTAATTCCCAAACCCTCTCTCCTATTCCTAAGCAAATGGTCATCTTGTAGGATTTTGGGGGCTCAGATCAACTGACTGGATTTTCTTCTGCAGCTTTCAGCCTAGGGTGATCCTCCTAAACATGTAACTGGAAGGATCCTACCCTGCCATTCACTCACTGAGCCTAGCAGGTCATCAGCTACAGGCACTGAGGGGGTCCTGCACACAGTCTTACACTTGACACTTGCACACTGTCAGCATCACCTGGATCCTTTCCTAAAGAGCCACAGTCACCTTAAGCAGATCACCTACAGCAAAAATGCCTCTCTAATAGTCAATCCCCACAGCCTGTCTGGGGCAAGGTGCCGTGCAGGGAAAGCTCAAGCATGCTCAGATGTTAGTACTGGTGTATTTACCTGAGTCTGAAATAGCATTTCAAAAAGCAAAGGGAAGAGATGCATTAATATCCCAGGATCATTACTGTACTGGGATAGCCACTTGCCTTTATTTAATCCCTTCTTTCTGCACAGGATACAGTTCACACACTACTCCAAAAAGTCTTTACACTTACTCAGCTCCTATGGAACTTGAGCCATGCAGAGTCTAAAATCAATTCTAATCATAAACTGTATATTCCAGTGTTTGCTCCAGGAAGCAAGAAAATTAGTCACAGAGAGGCAAAAGAGAGAACGTTTCCCTTTAAATTCAAGCAGAATTTGGCAAGATTGGGAGATAAAAGGAACCAGCATCACATTACTGCCAGAAATCAGTGCTGACAGCACATAAACACCTACCTTGGGATGCCCGTGCAGCTCCTCGCTGTTGGAGAGGGTGGCATTGAAGGGCTCTGTGTACTGATTAGGCTCTTTCTTCATCTTCCGTTCTCTCTTTGCTGCTGTAACTCTGAAGAGGCAAAACTGCTGACAAAGTAAAGTTGCCACAAATACCCAGGTGCACCCCTTCATTTTGGAAAGGGAGGGGCCAAGGCAGGAAGGGCACTCTCCAAGCACAAAACCCTTCACCACCAGCAATAGGAATAGACCCAAGGCTGCTCTCTAAAACACAACTAAAAGGGTCAGGAGTATTAAAGATGATCCTCCGGGCTCTGCAGTGTCAAAGGAGCAGCACGCCCGGATGCGCTGGTTGCTGGAGCGATCTCTGCTCAAGCAGGACACATGGAAATGGTATAGATAAACTTGTTTGGGAAATCTGGATTCACTCGAAGCAAGAGGTAAGTCCATTCAGCCTCCCGAGGCTTACATAAATACGAGAGGCCCTGGAAAGTCCTGCCACCCACCTTGCAGTGGCGCTCCCCCCTCGCCCCCAATAAGTCTTCAGACTCGTTTAAAACGCACTCAACTATGAAACCCAGAGAAGTCAAATTGCTCAGGGCAAGAGTTGGTCAGGCCGGAGCTGACAACACAGACTCATTAGGGGGGTTGTTAGGTTGTTGCTCTTCAACAGGAGACTTCACTTGCTATCATTTGAAGCACTGTGTTCAGCTCAAAGCAGGGTTGCAGTTGTTCTGTCCATTCTCTCCTGAGCGGTACTTCCCTTTCCTCAGTGACAAGTCCTCATCCTTTCCTTCTAAGATGCTGAGGAACTGTAATCCAAGGTTGCTACAGCCACTGCTCTCCTGAGGAGGCTGAAAGCATCACAGCCAAGCGCTCAGCCTTCTAAAGGGAAAACAAATGTCTTGTATCATTAAAACAGGGAGAAGCAAAGAATCTGGGGATGTACCCAGGTCCATGAGGAACAGGTAAAGTTTTCCCAAGTCAAGCTTCTCTGCCTCTTTAGCTGAGTTTATCCTCACTTTTCTTTAATGAGCAGCAAGTCCCGATGCCACAGGCAGCTGTCAGGATGTAGAATCTTGGGTCTTTCTCATCTCCATCTCCCCTCACACCAGGGAAGGTTTCAGGTACCTCTCATTGTAGATCGCATCTAGTTGTCCTCGCTGCTCCTTCTCCCTGCTGCACACTGGCAAAACCCTCCTCAGCTTTTGCTTTACCTCAGCAGAGAAGTACTCCTTTCCTGAATGAGTTTCCATCAACTTCAAGACAGGGAGAAAAAAAAAAGAAGGGGAAAAAAAAAAAAAGGAGGAGGGATCACATTCTAATGAGCTGTCAAGCCTATTCTCTTCACATTCCTATTAGACTCACTGATAAAGTGGAGCTGGCCCGTGTGCCAGGCAGATTTAAATCAATGCCCATTCCCTGCTCATTCCCTCCCCTCAGCCCTGTTCCGTACCTCCCCTTCAGTATCGCAGGGAAATCACCATTTTTCTGGGAAGTTTGTAAAACCCTACGTGAGCGTGTGGTAGAGCTAAAAATACGTGGCTTGGAACATGCACTCAGCATCGCCCCACACACGGCCACATCACTACTCCTGCTTTACACCCTCCTTAGCTGTGTCCTATACATCTCCCCCCACTCTCGTCAGATGCTGGCTCAGTGGGTGCTGATTCCTTTACAGAAGGGTGGGCTCCTTATTAAACATAACAGAAACCCCAAGGTTCAGAAGGGAGATCTTGAAGCACTTTGCAGATCTTTGTCAGTTCCCCACCACCTACAACATTCCTGCTCTTTCTACAGATACAGAATGTGATGCAAGAATGTCTCTGAGGTTGGACCATGAGGAAGTCCAAGAATGATAAGAGGTGGAAGCTCACATAGTTTGAAGTCCTTTATGCAGCCAGCAAGCAACAGCTTTGCTTTGTTTAATACTCCCTTTACCTGCTGTAATCCAAGCTGTAATGTCAGGACTTCACTGGATCAGGAGCAACAGCTCTGGTATGTGTCAGCTCAGGGAAACTGAGGCATGGACAACCCAAGCACAATATGAACAAGCAGAACACAGTCTGGGGTTTGTCTTACAGCATCCTTCGGGAGAAATAGAGTTTGGGAAAGAGAGAGTAAGAAGGGAGGTTACCCAGCCCCTAAACAGTTAACAGCCTATCACCCATCCCCCAGGAGCTCACATTCCATCAAAACTACGTGGCAGACTTTATTTGTTAATAATATTTAACTTTCTTTGGCGCCTTCTCCTACTTCAGCCTCTTTTTTTTTCAGGTTACTTGTAGACAAGCCATGAATTTGTAAAAGTGCACTTGATGACACATTAATAGGACAATCTGTCATATCGCAGCTAAACAGCCTGACAGATCCACACACCATGGCAAGGAATGACAGTCAAGGCTGGAGTGGGGCAATGGCTCTCGTGGGCTGCTGGTCTGCAACATCTCCTCTCCCATTCCAAGAGCCAAACCCAAAGACTAAATCCTCACACTTGAGGGCAATGAATCCAAACTAGGTTTGCAAGCACAAGGCAAAGGGATTCGATGGCCCAGCAGTGGCTGTATCTAACTCCCAGCTGCGTAGTTTTCTCTCTGTTGGGCTGAAACGAGTGCCAGCACAGTGGTTACCTCCCCTCCAACCTTCAGTTCAGCATTTGTATTATCTGTAGATAACTCCACTTTGCTGCTGCTGTTCTCACATCCAAGTTGCAGCAGTTCCAAGCACCCGAGTCTTGCTAATCCAGGAACAACATTCCATCCACATTTACAACTCACAACAAGAATAGGCCAATGCTGCACTTCACAGCACAGCAAACCAAGGTCTCAAAGTGACTGAAAACATAAATAGTTCCTTCTCCAAGCTCAGTGCCATTGCAGCAATAATGGGAATAGTTAAAAGACTGTAACAACATCAATTCTGCATGAGGAAGGAGTTGACATAGGGAAGGTATTATAAGAAGCCACATTTACACATCAAAACTGCGCCCAATAAGCCAAATAGAGGGTTTGCAAACACTGCAAGTGTGTGTAAAGCTGGAGGAAACTCAATAGTCGGGCAACAAAGTTGTGATTTGATCTGTCAATCTCTACTTATGCAGTTCCCTTTTTACTCAAGATAAACCTTACCTAAGCAAAGGATAATATCCAAAGGGGAGAAGGTCAAAAGCTAGGATTTTCCTGGAGTTGCCTGTTGTAGATATACTGAGCAATTCCTAAGCCGTGATACAGAGACGGTGATTTTTAAGCCAGTAAAGTAGAAGGCATATTATCATTCGTTGACACACACATTCCCACTTCATGGCAGATAAAAGTTTAGAGCATTCCCATCACAAATCCCTTTGGTTTTGGTGTGAAGCTTCCCAACACAAACTCCAGCTGTCCATCAGGTTATACACACACAAGCTGTTAGAATAGACCTCATTACACCAGCAGACATAAGAGCAGCTTTGGGAAGGCAGAACAAGAGCTTAGAGCCACTCCAGCTGCCTTCTGCATCCCATGATCCTGTTCCCCCCCATTCCCCACCTAGCCCAGCCATCAGCGACCGCGGGGCCGCTACGCCACCTCGTGGCAAACCTGTGGAATCACCGAGGTTTGGAAACACCATGGGGAAAGGTCAGGTTTCTCTTCCAACAGGCTCTTTGGAGAGCCAAGGTGCGAAATGACGTTGTTGAGGTCACAGACAATAACAAGTTCTTGGTAAATCCCAGTAAAACACGCTCAGTTGTTGCCCAGCAAAGTCTTTTCAATGCAATGTGAATGCTCTGAGGTTGTTTTCAACAGCCTCCCTTTCCTGTAAGCACAAGTTTTCCACTGAAAACATGGTTATTTCTACCTTGAACAGTAAGATCTGACCTTTGCCAATCAGCAAGAAAAGCATCATCTTGTACATTATCAGCCCCCTGTTGCAGTCCTGCCATAGCTTTTGTTTTACAGTCCATATATATGATTGCTTCCCAACGATTCCTTCCCAAAAACAGTCCCACAGAACATCTAAATTTCATCATGAATGTTTATTATGAACAAACAGCTTTACAATGCAGTCATTTCTACTCTTCAGTACATGCTTGAAGGAAGGGAACTCCTGTGACCTTGAAACTTTAGTGGGGGGGAGAGAAGTTCTGACTATCCATAAATCCAGGTTGTTAAAGGTGACCACTGAGATGCTTTGGATTCAAGCTGCAAAACCTCCCTCCCACCCGTGTGTAACAAGCTGACAGAAATTGCAGCATGAAAGTAAAGGGCCAGACATTTGTTCCAGTATCATAGATCAAGGGACAGCTTTTAGTTTAGTACCACATTAAGTAATGCACTGCTTCAGGGCATGGTCATAGTTTTTGCATGGCAAAGAATGGTTTCCTCCATCTAATGACTTTGGTAACATGCATGTAAAAACCAAACAGAACAAAGAGTAAAACCTACACAGAAGGGAATAACTCTTCTGTTACCAAAGGCAAGGAGATGTAGCAAGAAGGGTTCAGTCAGCTCCTAGCTTTCAAGCAATGGCACTTGAAGCGACTGTCAAGTCTTTCTCTGAACCCAGGGTACTGAAGAGAAACAGCAACTGGAAGTTTTGTTTCTTAAAATACAACCAATCCTCAAAACAAATGCAGCATGTTCAGGGTTTAAATGAAGTTTTGTTGTTTCCAATGGTGGCACTTGCTAAGAACAGGAGCCCCATCTTCCTTAAGGCCAACTTCTTGCCAAATAAAATGCTTTTTATTCAACATATCCAGACTTTGCTAGCTCTTCTACCTTGGTTAGGTAAATGCAAAACATCAGAAGATGCAAACGCACCATGGCAAGGTCTCCTTCATGTATGTGGACAAAAGAACTTCCATAAGATAAGAAGATAAAAGTAGATAACTGATTCTAAGCTGCTGCCTGTAGGCAATGTCAATGGTCATAAAAGGCATTGCGAGAACACAAGCATGTCTGAATGTCACTAAAATCTATGAGGCTCTACAGCCCCAGTTACAGGTCCATGTGCTTTAAGACAGGAGATACACCAGCCTGACAAGCCATCCTGAAAACCCTCTCACTGCAGGAAAGACAGGACACCCCCAGACCGACACAACACAATTGTTTCTAGATAGATCCACCTGGTGCTTCTCCTTCCACAAGAGCTGATGAAGCACAAAGAGGTAAATTAAAAAATAGTTATAAATAAGATTTGGTAAAACAACAAAATCTAAAAAAAAAAAAATATCAAAAATTTATAAACACGTTCTAACATCCAGCCTTTTCCAGTTCCTCCCCACCTCCTTCCCTTCCTTACCTCAGCAGGAACTGCTTTAAGATTTCTTTAGTACAGAGCTGGTCTGCTAGTCCTTATCATTCCTACCTAATGCAGAGAATTGGTCACATTTATTAATGCTCTAAGCTGCATCCTCATGGGTTAACAAAACAGTTTTGCTACCATTCAGGGTAGCAAGAAGCAGAGAGAGAACAGATCTGAAAGGGAAAACAAAAGAGCTTTGAAAACATTCTTAGATAGATGAGGTAATATTGATTTGGGCTCTTCAGAATAGGTAAGACTAGCCAGTGAAACGCAGAGCCTCCGGCCCTACCATCACCTTTTGACAGGTTGCTGTAGCATTAACAGCATGTTCTTCCCTAGATGATGAGGCATCACTGTCAAATATGAAAGGCACAGTAAGTTTGCCTCTGATAAAACAAAGTATTTGGATAAAATTAAGTGGGGGGGAATAAAACTGAGTTTATAAAGTAATTTCAGGCAGACTTTGAACTACTCTAGGAGCTTTAGAGTATCCATGAATAATCCCATGAACAAACATTGGTATTTCAGTCATCTGAAAGGGAAGAGTAACGAACTTACACCTAAAAGCAAAAAAGCTTCTAGAATCTCAGATGAATTAGAAGGGTTTGAGCTTTTGGTGGTGGTTTTTAAGAGTTTATGCAAGTCTTCAAGTAAGCAAGTGGGACTAACTTTAAGGTTTTACTTCAGCTAGTGACACTTCAGATTAATTCAACTGACTCTGAAAAAGCTGGTTTGTTATTCACTCATCTTTCAGTCTTCACAAGGGCTTGGGTTACTCCATTTACCAAAGGCCAAGAAATCCAGAGAAGTTTTGCTGAATACACAATCAACTCTCCATTGGTGTGTGCGGTTTTATTATTCATTTCACCACTGGCACCTTGTGATCAAAACTAAGTATTACAGCTTCAAATGTAACGTCTCCCAGATGGAAATCTGTCAGTGAACAAACCCAAAACAACACTGGATATGGGTATCCCCATGAAAGACCAATTCAGTTGCCTAAAGGTTGACAACTGCACTTCTTGTAGCCCAGATAAAACCTTCAATGACATTGTGACAATTTAGACAACACATTTAACACACAAGGTGTTACTGTCCCACTCATCTAATCACTACTGACTAGATATGAAATGATAGTCATTCTATTTTATAAAAGAAACCAGCAATCTTCTGTAGCATCAATGTTCACATGAACCCAACCCTTACGAAGTCCGCATGGAATCTCTACTTGAATCATTTCAACCCCTGTACAGACTCTCCCCTAAGGAAAGTAAAATGTGATATGCATAAATTGTGATGTCTTAAAAACTGTTCCATAAAGTAAAAAGCCTCATTTGCTTCAGGTTTTCAAACAACAGATGGAGAACTGCTATAAAAATCAAAGCACTAGAAATGGTCGTGTCTCATCAGTAATGCTTTGACTTGTGTGTGAGC